GGTGTTCGCCTGCTGCCGGGGCCACTGAATTTTCAGGAGGTGGCTCAGGCAGCAGGATCCTGTTTAAATGGCTCATGGTTCTGGCAGGGGCCGGAGCCGCCAGTGTTTCAAATAGCTGCAGCATCCCAGGAGGCTGCCAGGCAACACGGTAGCGCAAAACCGGGAGCCCTTTGCTGTGTTTGTTATTCAAAGCCTCTGGCCCCACACAGTTCTGGGGGGAGGCTAGTTCCCAGCTCTGCCTCCACAAGCCCAGCCCCTTTGTCCCAGGCCCCGCCCCTTCTGGGAGTGGCGCTGGCTCGTGACCACATAGCTACATTAATTAAGTGCCCCCCCTGTGAACAGTATTGCCCCCCCCGGGCGGGAGTATAGGGCAAAGCCCGGCTTTCTTCCTAAAACGAGGAATGAAACGGGCTTTGTCTTTCCTGCCCCAGAGAGTCTCTTGGTTGTGGCTGATCCCGCGGAGGACGAACACCTCTCACCGTGTTTAGAAGCCGTCGCTTCCTTTGGCCCCTCCCCCCGCCTTTTCCATTCCTGGGTGATGGAGTCCTCACGCAGCTGGCTCTGGGATTCTGCCCCTTCCCCACGCCCTTGTTGGGGAGTTGCTGTTGCAAAGGGGTCAGATTCCACGGAGGCGGTGGACCTGGCTGGGGCTTGGGGCTTGTTTGCTCATGGAGGGGTCACAGATTCTCTCATGCAGCCGGCCCCCGTGCATGAGAGCGCAAGTCGGAGCCGGCACAGCGTACGTGCTGCTGTGTGCCTGGGCCGGGCTGCAGGTTGTAGCAGAGGAGGAGACACAGCTGGCGGCTGGACGGTGCTTTCTCCTCCGGGGGCCCAGGCTGTGTCTACACGGGGAAGGTTTGGTGCGGGAAGTGCTGTGGACAAAGTGCAAAAGTTGCAGAAACTGGTCAAACCAGTTTTTCTGCCTCCCGTTGTGGACATTTCATGGCCACGAGGCTCGTTCCCCTGTGGCAGAGCAAAGCATTGTGGGAAAGCATCCCATAGGGCAGTGTGGTGGGAAGGCAGAGCTGATCCCTGCTCTTCTTGGGATGCCCTCGTAGCTCTGGGAGCTCTCTCTGCCGAGGAATGGCAAAGCAGCACGGCCGTCTCTCCAGCTCTCCCCCTGCAGCAACAGTCTGCTGGGTTCCTAGCCAGGCAGAACAGGAGCATTTCAATGATTTGCTCTTTGTCCCCAAAAGGAGCAGCTCACTCAGCTGTCAGACACTTCCCGGAGCTTTGAAAGGGGAGGGCACCTGCCTGCAGGGCAGCAGAGATCACAGAACACCGAGCAGAGCCAGCAGGGCAGACGTTGTGGGATACTGGCAGAAGCCAGTTCTCTCAACCAAACAAACAACAGAGTCCACCCTGGCTCTTGTCAACAATAAAGGGAGGGGAAAAGACAAAAACCTCTCACAGGGCTGGAAGTTTTTTGTTGCCAAAACTGGGTGTTTGTCCTGACACAAGTTGCACGGCCGTGTGAACGCGCTCACTGCTTTGAGGCAGGTTTTGGTGACAAATCACGCCAGTGTAGACACGGCCCTGGCCCCTGCAGGACACGCTCCTGTTCCCAGGGCTGGGAAATCAGTAGGCTGCAGAGTTGCTCTCACCTGGGACTCTCCCACCTGTGTGCAGGTTGGACGGTAAGGTGGGTTCACTTTATCTCCAGCTGCCCTCTCCCCTGCCAGGCGGTTGTGTATAAGGTGCCGAGTGGGCCGGCCTGACTCCAGGAGCCCTCCGTGGCTGGGCTCAGCTCTCGGCGTGGGCAGCGCTACCGTGAGGCCTGCAGGGAACAAAGTTTGATTCTGAAATGAGGGCGACTTTCGAGGCTGGACGTAGGGTGGCCAAGTCGGTGTCTGTGGTCGGGACCATGGGTCTACGGATGTGCTGGGCGCTGGGGACAAATATTAGAGAGTTTGTGGTCTCCACGCCCTGGCCCAGCAGATCTGTGGGCTGGTGAGGGCCCCTCTGCGTAGAACAGGGCGGTGTTAAGCAGCCAGAAGGAGGCAAGAGGCCACGGCAGCGTCTGAGCAGGAGAGACGGGCGCGTGTGGGTGAAGGGCGTTCGCTGTACCCACGAGTCTTCGGGAGCCGCGTCTTTCTAGGCTCTGCCTTTGCCTGTGAGGCGACTCTCTGGGGACGAATTT